CAGAGGATTTTCCAACTGTGTTGCGAGTGAGTTTGGGATTAGAGAAACCCCCGCGCATTCAATATACGGCACAAACACACATCCGAAAAAGGTGCTTTAGATAAAAATCCATCTGACATTTTAAGAGGTTTATCCAATTGCACCTCCATTTCCATCATGCGTGCTTTTCCACCTGAGTGCGCGCCTTTTCTGTTCCACTTTAATGACATTTTGGTGTTTCATTAGCCGGTGCCCTCCCCAAAAATGTGTGACTCTATGTTTAGTTTTGGGGGTGCATTTAGACTGCTGGAGTGGAATGGAAGAGACTTTTAATGGGAATTAATCAAAATAGTATTCTGCCCAATCAATGGTGATGGCAGTGAGTGATTTAATTGGCCTAATGATAATGAATCGCTTATTAATATCATGAAATTGTCACAACTGAAGCTAATTTCTCACCTGACATTCCACAGCAGCAAACCCAATATATATATATATGATTCCATTTGTCAAGTTAAGACAAATCGGGTCAATTCAATTTTATAGGATTTTTCTCTCCCGTTCATAGTCAAAATCAATTAAAATCACTGGGTGTTTTCTGCCGTGGGGGCCAAACTTGTGTCACTCCTCCGAGTTGTAATGCGACACGATGGCAGAGAATGCTTCGGATGCCGCCAGGTGGAATCGCTCGAATTGAATTTAATCCATTATCTAATGCTATTTACGCCTTTTGCGGGGTGATGTTAATAAATTTGATAGAGGTTGAATGCTTTATGGGGTGGCGAAGGTGCGAGTGAGGGTGTGTTCGCTGGACAATTTAATGTGTGCAAAATTTATATACAATTTACCTGAGCGCGTTTTCCCCCAGCACAGAGAACTCCATCCAACACTTTTCCCACCTTGTCTCCCAGAGTCAGGTGTGGTTTTCACCACTCAATTGGGCGAGGCGTGCACTTGTGTGTGTGTGTATTTACACAATTGTGGGTAAAATGTGAATGAACCCATAATAATCGTCAAAACTTTGATATGCAAATTCATGTTAAAATTTAAACACACAACTCCTCATTATGGCTCACACAATCTACATAATACGACGCGTTGATTCAACAAACCACCATGAAAACATCACTCACATATGCCCATCGAATGTTAACATTGGCTGGCGGTGGGCTTATTGAGGTGTTGAGCAAATGTCTTGTTCAACAAAACACTTTGTATAGTTTGTGTCGATATGGCACCGCATTTCCCGGCTTATTTGCAAATCGGCTTGAGGTGCAGTCAAATTGCGTCGCGAGTGTGTATTTAAATTCACCGCAATGTTTTTAGGGGTGTGAATTTTCACCGGTTATTAGTTTGAAACTATCGAAACCTGGCATGGAAGGTCTTTGCAAAGTGAAAAAGAGTATCAAATGAGACAAAGTCATCAATTCCCAAGGGGAAAGTCATTAGTCAATTTTGGAGGAATAAAATCTCAATCGAATCTTTAAATATTGGTTTTTACTTTGTATGAAAAAAATCAAATAATCAAAATTTAAATAAACAATAATCCAAATATGACCAACAATTGATTATTACGGGAGAAGAATATTTAAGCGAGAAAATAAAGCTTTTCGCGGTCAAAAAGCTCGAACTTCTACATGTCTTTTAACTGCTGCCCTCTAGTGGCAATATGTGGGAAAATAATCAAAAAAAATTCAATATCCTTTGACGTAATTAAAAAGTGATTGAGAATTGAATGAAATAATCCAAATTCGAATGAAAATCACGGAAAAATCAAGATATTATTGAAGAATCACAAAGTTATTGGTCTGAAATCGCGAGTGATTTTCCCCTTGTAAATTCCTTTTGGCATTTTGGTGTCCTGGGCGATCAAAAAAAACCCTCCGTGCGGATTATATATGCATTTGGGTGCAGGGAAAAAGAGTCAAAAATCACTGAATGGCTGACGATGGGAGAAAAAACAGCGTCGCATTTAATTAGGCAACTTTTAACAATCTGATTTTTCCACTTTGTCCCTGCAGCATCAATCCCCGGGCGAGGGCGGAAGGGCGCGCCATTGTGCTCGGACGGGAGGGTGAGACAGGGTGGCCAGGGTCTCATGTGTGCAACGAGGTGGGGTAAATCAGGTAGGACAGCGATAATGATTGTGTGGCATCAATTGATATGAGCGTGGGCGGGGGCATTTTTGCGAGTTGACAACAAAGGGAGAGTTGCGAGGCGAAATCGTATCATCGGCATGGCCACCAACTGTGTGTAATGAATGTTGGCATAATTCAATTAGGCTGTCGCCCACCTTTCACTCTATCTATCAATGAAATATGACAAACTGATTATGAGCCGTGTGCAGCCACCCTTTCTGTGCCTGCGGAGCGGCAAGAAAACACCTGCTCCTCGCATTCTTCACCATCACAACGCGGCGCGCCCCCTTCCCCCGGGGGGAGGCCCTCGTGTTTGTTGCTGTGCCGCCGCCGCCGTGCATGTGGAGAGGCTGAAATTTTTCATACATAATAAAACACCCGCAACCGACAGCGTGAAATTTTTCAATAGGAAACGATTGTATTTGAGTGCTGATAAACGCTAACTAACTTTTAAACATGCAGCACGACGCTTTTTTTTGTGTGGTGGTTCAAAGGCCCACAGAAAATGTGTATTTTGCGAGTGACTCTATGGGATATTTTGCATAGCAACAGCAACAATTACATTACACTCCACAATGTGTCCTCCTGTTTTTCCATACTATATGTATGTTCAGTTAATTAAAAGTTTTTCCCAATTAAAAATTTTTCCTCATGAAAATTTTTGTCGAAATATACAATTAATTTTTTAATATTCCGCACCCATTTTATTGGACTGCAATATATTCGCAAATATATTTTGCGCCATTGAATTGCTTTTCACAATGGACAATTGCTGGTTATGGGGAAGAGATGATGTTTTACACGCGGAAGAATCACCCTTTTGAATATGATTAAATCAAAGAGGATTATATTACGAGTGTTCTCAAAGGCTCTGAATGTTTACGCATGAATTGTGCGTCAAAAAATGTGCTCCAATCATTATGTATTAAAGCAATTCAGCTGGGAGTAAAATCAAAAACTCCTAAAAGCGCTTTTGAAATTTGATAAACCCTTTACAGTGAATCCGTTTGATTAATGTTTTTAGGCAGGTGGTGACATTTTGTGCGACTAATAGCAAATATTCTGTGTTTGTGTGTGTGTGGCAATGAAGGTTTCAAAGCGATTTGTGGCGGCGGGAAAATTCTAATCATTTCTCATAAATTAGTGTGAGACAGAATTCAGTGATGGCCAAAGAGTCAATATTCTCATATTACGCCAAGTGGAGGGAAAATTGTAAATTCCCCTAATTGGATGACATAATCAAAATCATATTATTGACGGGGTTGTTGAATTTGTTTTAGTTGAAAAATTGTACGCACAATAAAGCGATGAATTTCTATGAAAAGAGGGTCAGAAAGAGGCTCATTGAAATTTCAACTATTATATTGATCCGTGGAGTGTATTTTTTCAGACCATAGAGCACACCAGGCAAATTGTGGGAGAATTGACAATTTAGTGAATTGTGTTTTAATTAGAAATGCATTGTCCCGTAAGCTCATTATGGCCATTTGGACGTACAATGCAAGCAGACTAAATAATGCAGAGCATTTGTTATGTGAAAAGCTTAGGCAATCAATTGATGCCTCTGAGATACATATAAAAGCTTCTCTGGGGTGGAAATTTTGTTCGTCCAACTCGTCATGGCTCGACCTCACGAAAAGTGTGTGTGAGTGTATTCATTAAAAAGTGACTGCGCTCATCTTTTACGGTCGATTTTTTTTCTTCTTTCTACCCCAAAATATCCTCTTTAGCCCATGAACTAAATGCTTCGCCATTGTGTGGGTGGACAGTACAAAAGAGGGATGAAGAGGACACAAAAGAGTCCACCAAAGGCGGGAAAAAAGTCGACAATCAATTGACAAGCGACAAGAGTCTCTCTTCTCTCGCTCCCCTTTTCGATCCACGCACACGGAAAGAAGGGGAGGGAGGAAGATTCCACGTTAATTACAATGAGTTGCGATATCAGTAGAACATGATAAGATTATTGAGTGGTTGGAAAAGCCCTTCCGCTCGTATCGCGCGAGCGGCACCCAGTGTTTATCGAACAGATGGGACTCGCTTTAGAAAGTATAACATTCTCTACATCCAATCGCTCGATCGATTTTGTATCAAAATATCAATCAATTGTCGCGTGAGTGAATTCGACTATACATTTCCTCGCCATCAATCCCGGGGATGAGAGCGCGCGCGGCGAGAAAAATAGAACATGTTACATATTTGCAGATAAAAATTCAAATATATTGAGAGGTGGGATTGTTGGCAGAGGGAAGTCAGGGCTGGAATTGCGTCACCCATGGGGAAGATTTTGCACCCGCACACGAAGTGGAGGAAGGAGCAATCAAGTTAGCTCCTGTGTAACTATCTTCTCCTCTATTTTCTAATTTCACGTACAACGTCGACGTATTATTGTGTAAGAATGAAAATTTAATATCCACATCATGATTGAATCTCTGGGCGCGCTTTTCCAACATAATACGTCCCTGCGGAGAGGCGCAATGCCGACAGAGAAGTAGCTATAAATGTGGAGGGAAAATCAATTATTTGGTATAGAAGATATTCTCAGTGTCTTCAATGAGGGGTTGTTTCTGCGTGTTTGCCATCTTTGCCTCAAATAGAAAACCACCAACCGAAGGTAATGTATTTAACATATTTATTAATAATGGAAGCAATAATAATCACATTAGAATGTATTGATTTTATAAACAAATTTGTGCTGCACGACAGAATGTGTGTGGCTGTGCTTTTTCCACCCCGAAACTGCCGAGGAGGTTAATGTTTCAATTATTCATTTCGGTGTGACTATGCTTTATCACCTGACAGTCTCTCTTCTCTCTCACTCGCGGCGCTGTAACTCTTCTTTAGGCTGATGCACATGGGGCCAATATATAAATCAACTTGACATAGTTTTCGTTTGGCGGATGGCGGACGACATGAGGGTGAGTCTGATATACACAATTATGCAAATGAGTGTAAATTTTCATCGCCCAGGAGTTCGGTTATCATCATCATGGAATGTGTCCACATGGAGTTGCGTTGTTGAGGGGGGACACTTTTCGGCCGCCCTTCAACACACTGAGAACTCTCTCTGGTGGGTCAAATGAAAACATTTCCGGTCCACTTATCTATCCCAACCACGACAATGTGGTCAAGAGTGAAATTTCACTATAAAATATTGTATACATTCCAGTCATCCTCCACTGTCCGGCATTTCTGTGGCTCACCCTCGCTCGCTCATTCTCACTCAGACAATTTTCGAATTTCACCTCAATTCACAGGGCCCACCCACAGGGAAACTTTAGCCTGAGAGCGACTAACAAGAAGACACATACACATCGTCTCCGGCAAATGGGGGAAAAGCTTCGCTATATCCGCATATTGTCGGATGCCTGGCATTAGTAGTGGCAAAACAATTTTCAGGGTGGTTGATGGTGTAATAAAAAACCACTTGCTTCTGCACAGAACACAGAGCACTGGGCGGCGGCGAAGGGAGGGAGGAGGAAAAAACAGCCGGAGAAAGACACAAAAAGCAAACCATTCACAAACCCCCGCGCCAAACGTCCCCCGAAAATAAAAAATAATGTGACAAGATAAAATCTCAACTTCTCGTCTTTTCTATTTGTGCTCCGGCCACCGAAGATCTCACATTTGTCGCTCCACCCTTATCGCACCACCATTTCTCAACATTGTCTCGATGACGACCCTGTTGCTTCGCATCGGCAACATTATTGCATTTCCCACCCAAACGGACACCCACGCCGCCGCCGCCCCCACAAGAAACGACGTCTGAGGGCGAAGATCATGTTTGGAGGAAATATTTATTCTCCACAATACAGCGTATCGTGTTCCGATTTATTGTAATTAATTGCTCTCGATTTCGCCACGACGGCAAGTGAGGAAGTGCTGAGAAAACGAGCATCGAGATATTTGGACACAAACTATATTATAAACTTTCTTCCATCAACTTTTCCACGCAATTAAGTTTCTATTGCTTAAGAGTTCTCCCTTTCATCTCGAACCTTTGAGAATTCTTCTGTAAATTCTGGCTATTTCTCGCCATCAACCTAATGAAATCTCAAAGAATCACCACAGAAATTTCACACCAAGACAAACCAAAAATCCAAAAGTCAGAGATTGTACTTTGTCTTCCCTTTTCAGCACAATTTCAAGGGGAGTGCGGCTTTGTGATGGTTGAGAAACACCTCCTGGAGGTGTAAAGACGACAATAAGATGAAGAAAATTCACATCCAGAGCCAGTGTAATATGCACAATGGGAAATATTTTAGGCTACAGACAGCCAAAGCCCCTCAATATCGTCCTGGCTTTATTAAATACAAAGCAACACTGCGGTAGTCTCTTGGTAGTACTTAGCAAAGTGGAGAGAAGAAGACTCTGTGTTGTCCCTTTATGATCCCCATCGAAACTTTGATGTCGTGCGATCATCTTCAATTGTGCCTCGGCACTCAGAGAAAGAAGGTGCTTTTTGGCATACGACAGTGCCGTAGTCATTCCAAATAATGTTCATTATTGCATAAATTCCATCACGGGGGAACACTTGAGAATGCACACACAGAGGGTGAAAAGGCGAAAAAAAAGCGAGAGCGCAGAATAAAACAATATTAAATGAGTCCCTCCAATTCCATTATGCAGAACATACATGTGCATATAAAACACTTCTTCTCCATAGAGAAAATACAATTTTGGTGAGACGCAGAGAGCGGAGCTTTCACGGCATCCCGACAGTTCGTCTGACGACTGAATGGGGGGATGAATACCCACGAACCACCACTAAATATTTGCTGCCAACTGGAAATATAATTGTGTTTCGGGATGCACTCCCACTCGGTCACACACATCCCATTGCAAACAAGCAGCCAGCAATACTTGAAAATATTCCGAAAATTTCATAATTTTATTTTATTCCAACTATGCTGGCTGCCATCGAGAGTGTTTTGCATAACTCGTCGTTCCGACCATTCTCTCTCACTCTCTCTCTTGTGTCTCTCGATTTATCTCGGGATGGGATTATGAGAAAAACCACACATGATTGGGAAATGATGGGGAAGACGAGTCCTCAATTGGAGGGTGGATTCTGGAGGGATTTCGCTGTGGTCATTTTGGGTTTTTGTCCTCTATCCTAAATGTCTCCCTTGACCTCTCAATATTGATCTCGCCATTTCGCTCGATTGTCTACATTTGCGGTGTCCGCTTAAGAGGATTGCGAATTCTTTTATATTCACTGTAGCATTGCTTAAGGAATTTCGAAGGATTTTAGTATATTGAGGTAATTCGGAGAAAGAAAAAAAGCCAGATAATTCATTTGTATCACTCTAAATTTCACATTTTTAGAAACTATTTGACTTTAGAGTGATGTTCTGACATTAATTCGGATGAGAAAGAACACAGAACTCATGGGATCTTTTTCCATAGAGAGGCCGAAGAGGATTAAATAAACTTCTCAAGTCCCCGAGGCGACATACTTAACAAATTGAGACACAATTCCACTAACGAGCAACACTGTTGCGCTCATTTCGTCGCCCCACAAACTTTAGTTGGCAATATATATTGCTCGCCACCCCGTGAAAGTTCAAGTGACTCTCACGCGCGAGGGGTTAAAATTAAAAAATCACCCTCATGTTGTCTTGCATATTTATTTGACCGAGTCGCCATTCTGCGCGCCCCCATGAAATTGAAATGACTTCCACGACCGTCGCTGTTGGCGAGAAATTGAGTGGCGCTCGGAGGGCGATGAAGGAGCATCTAAATGATCTGATAATTATGTATTCATTATGTGAATTCTCAATGTCCCCTCTTGGCGTGGATGTGACTTGTGAGGGCTGGTGTGTCGCCCAAAACTGTCACCTCATCTTTTTGCTCCAATTCCCCTCATCATCATCATACATTTTTAGGGTGTGTGTGCGTCTAATACTTGCGAGCCTGCTTCTGACATTTCTTCCCCAACAAATGCCATATATACATTTTCCACCATCACTCTCGTGTACAATATTTCATTCTCGGCGGCCAGGAGGGCCTTCTTGGGCCGCCGCCTGCGGAGTGCGATGGGGTTAGGGTGTAGGCAATCTCTGGGACTCTCTCTCTCTCTCCCCATCTAGTTTATATGCACAACTGTAATACAGTTTGCAGAGCGCGCCAAGTAATTTCTTCATTGAAGGCTCTTGCGAGCTTCGGAGTTTTTTACTGGATGATATAGAAGAGGAGATATTTGGGGAAAAATACACGCAATCTTCACAGAATTTTCTTCTCCTTATCGCGCGCTCTTTGCGGAGGATTTTCCACCGTGTGGCAAAGAGGCGATATATTTAATATTTATTGGGAAAATTCATATGCAGTGATGCTGAAAGGGAAAATCTTCTTTGCTCCATCATCTTTTTCCCCTTATTTCTCTCCCTTTGCTAAAGCGATGAGATAATTTTAGGAGTTATTTTTTTGACATGATAAAATTTAACATTGCCAATTTTATGGTTTCTCCCCCCTTCTTCACCCCCGCATCGCGACAAACACTTCTTTTCTTCCCTCCCTTCATCGTGTGACTTTGAAGAAAATACCATCGCAAGGAGACACACATAATAATGAGGAGAGACACAGTTTCCAGAGATGGATGCCAAGATGAGAGCTCCATATGGATGGTGTGTAAACAGGCTCTTGAGCATCGCAAGGGGTGGTTGTACGGGGGAAAATGGTCCCATAAATTAAACATAAGATATTCTTTCCCTTCCGTCTGAGTGATTGAATTGCGTGGTTTGGTACTGAACACCCGTCCACAGATCGGGAAAAAGTGAGCAAATGGTTTTGCAATGAGGCGCTTAGCATTGCGGTAGCGACAATGGAATATCATAAAACGGAGTAAAATTTACATCACCGCGAATACATAATTAATTGGGCTGTTTTGGTGCGGGTGACAATTTGCATAATTATTAGGTGATTTCATTTTCCGAGCTCACCCACCCACACACCCACAGGCAAAAACACAATTATACACAAGGAACAAATTTAAAATAAACATTTGCCAATATTATTAATGTATCCAATGATTTTCCAATAATTTATGCCCAACAATGTAATCATGCTTGAAGCCCAATTTCCCTCTCTCAACTCAACTCGTGCCGCAAAATTGAAGGGTTTCCCTATGCATGTTCAATTACTGGAGCTGTGTACTCACCATGGATCACGCTCGGCAGGCAGTTGTTGCCATCAGAAGTGCTCACAGATGTTAACACCACATTACATCACAGTTCTTCTTTCTTCTGCTGTCGCGAAAGGCGCGCAAAAGGGAAAATTTGTGTGTGTGTGCAAAAGTATTAGAAGTCTCGAGGATGTCCGATTGTCGGGTGCCACGCGTAATTGATATCAGAGATTGTCCCAAAACAAAAAAGTCACACTGCGTGTCTTGTGTTGCAAATCAAGGTGAGGAAGCGAAATGCCCTTCCGCGACTTGTATAATAATGGTGGATTGTGAAGAACACAGGATAAGGAGGGGTGATTGATGATGGTTTTTTTTGTGGGGCCAGAATGAGTGAAAATGAACAAAGTGTTTTCAAAAAATGTTCAGAGAGAGATAGAGCTCGAGACACCCCAAGAACCATGTGAATGGTTTCGCGTCTGACTTTCGACTGACACTCGCTCGGCTAGATTTACACTGACGTCCAATTTTCGCCAGAAGCCACCGAGCTTTGGGGGAAATCTCTGTCCGGCCCGCCGTGCGCCAGTGTGCGTGACACTTGTGGCAGTGTGCCGGCACACTCACGCGATGTAACCCCTTCGTGTGCTCTCGCTCGCGCGCACTGTGGGGCCGCCAGGGCGATCACAAGGGTGCGGTACTGGCCCACTTGCCATGCGCCATCTCTGGTCGTGTGGGTGAAGCTGAACAGTGTCGGTGTGTCACTCAGCACACCGTGCTCCCTTCTATAATGATTGCTTTCTCGCGATTGCGCCATCGCGGGCTTCTCCATGTTACGAAATATCCCTCGTGTCACCAACACAGGCGCGCCGCTGAGCGTGAAATGGTCGA